ACATATTCACTTACCATGAATATACATATATATTCATATATATATGCTTACATAAGTTCAGGCCAGATTTAGTCATTTTATATATATATATTCACTTACCACAATCACTCATCTCTTGGGTTGTAAACTGTCCAAGTGTTTTGTTACAGGGTGCCCCTGACTGTGCTGTAACTGTCATGTAAAATAAGTATTTGCTTCATATTACTTTTCTAAAATCTGAAAAATTCTGAATTCAAAAACTGAATTCTAATATTCTGAATTCTAATATTCAAAAACTATTACTTTTCTAAAATCTGAATTCAAAAACATACCTGTCCCCTAGCGTTTAAGATAAGAGACCATAAATTTATAGGAATACTTTGATCATCCTTATGTATCAGGCATTGTTCTAAATGCTTTAAAAGTATTAACTCATCATTCTCTATCACTGTATGAGGTAGAAACTATGATTCCTATTTTCAGATATAAACACTAAGACACAAAACAGACAACTAATTTGCTTAGAGGAACATAGATTGTCATGGAGCCAATTTACTAATCCAGGCAGTCTGTCCTACAGCCTGGATTTTGACCACTGTGTTAGTCTTGTAAACACCTTTGGATTCCTCATATGTAAAATGGCACTAACAACTACCTTTCAGGAAAAACAACCAATTCTCAATGGCCTTTGCAAAGGAGAATGCACATTGAACAATCAGTAACTTTGATATAGTATTTTATCAGTTTCGTACAGGAGTGCAAGGGGCAACACAGCTAACTGGAAGAAGATCCTATACGAAGCTGGTTACTCCTTTTCATCTAAAGCATTCCCACTCTCCTGTGTAATTTAGACACCAACATTAAAATGGTGCTATGCCCAGAGGCACATTACAAATTACCTAAAAACACATTGCAACATGCCATTTAAAATTTAAATGAAACACTATAATCTCCAATCAAAGCAGTTTAATATCAGGAACTGTGAAGTTTGGGAGCTGATGTATAATGAAGGAATTGAGGGTCCTTTTACCAGCAGCTGTTCTAACAGGGCACCCCATGATAAACACCTAAAAATCAGCCGCCTGCCCAAACCAGGGTAACAGCTGGACCAGCCACCAGGGAAGTGGAAAGGCAATAAACCAAATAAGCTTGATTTATTTTCATACCTCCCCAGGGCTCTGTATATTTTAGGATTCAAATATATTTTGCCTTCCAGGTGCATTTGATTTCCATCTTCGAGTCTAATCTTTGAATCCAGTCTGGTCTTACCTTCTTCCTTATTTCCATGCTACCTTTACCTCCAGTCTGTTTAGCATTACCCTCCTGACCTTAGGCTGATTGTCTTCAATTAAGCCTAAGGATTTCCTCTTCCTGAACCAAAGTCATGTTACAGTGCAGGAATAATAAAAAGACTGAATGGAACTGTAGTATCATAGCCAGGGCCCCAATGTCAACCTTTTGAAAACAACCTGACTGCAGATACCCCATCCCACTGGGAGACTGAACACAGTGGCATTGCAATCCACCGGTTTCAGAGCATTGGCATCTGTGCCAAGGAATGTTTTCTCTAGGAATCTGTTTTCTCATTAAAAGAATTGGGCAGAGGGAACCAAGAAGAAAAAAATAGTAAGTTAAATCAAAATATGATATGAGTTCATAAAAAAAAAAAACTACTGTGATTAATCATACTACAAGTCATTTAATATGTTTGGAAGAAATTCAGAGCAAGTGAATTCACCAGAACTTTCAACAACTATGTGCTCTCAAAAGTAATCAATGCACAGCACATAAGTTAGGAATGTTTCTTAAGAGCCTCCACGATATTCACCTTAATAGGCATAAAATGTATACAGGATAAGGAAATAATTGTAAGTAGAGTCACTTATTGTCATTGAAAGTAGAATCTTACCTATATTTTAATACAAAACCAAGAATGGTAAAACATCTGTGCTTTACCAAAGGCAATGAAAGACTAAGAAGGCAATATTTTAAACAATACACATTTGGATTTTTTGTATAACATTCTCAACTATCTCATCAGTAAAAATCCTCAGAACACTCCTGGGAAATAGTTAAACAACACGGAATAGTTTCTACTCCAAAATTAAATCCTATCCTTGTAATCATAACTCTCTCTCTTCCCCAACCTCCATAATCATGGAAAGCCTGAGACTGGGAGTTGAGAGCAGGAAGGAATGACAGCAGCAACCTTTTTAGACAAGCAAATAAGTTTTACTGGCTTTGTTCATGAACATCTTTTTTTTTTTGCAACAAGGTCTTATTCTGTTGCCCAGGCTGGAGTGCAGTGGCACAATCTCAACTCACTGCAACCTCCACCTCCCGGGCCCAAGCAATTCTCCTGCCTCAGCCTCTGATGTAGCTAGGATTACAGGTGCACACCACCATGCCTGGCTAATTTTTGTATTTTTAGTAGTGACAGGATTTTGCCATATTGGCCAGAACATCTCGAACTCCTAACCTCAGGTGATCCACCTGCCTCAGCCTCCCAAAGTGCTGGGATTACAGGCATAAGCCACTGCACCCAGCCTGCTCATGAACATTTTATTTGCAAATGTTTCCCCATCCTTTCATTTATTCCAACACGTTAGGCCACCTACCACCTTCATGCCCTTACCCTTTGCTGCCCATCTCAGCATCATCCCAATCCTAAACGCACATATGTCAATAAACTAAAAATGTAACCAATTTCTTTGTTACCAAATAAGTATTCCTGTGATAAACTAGGCCCTCCCAAGCAATATAGCCCTAGACTGCAGTACCTCGCCACTACTAATGGTGTCAACGCCCTCATCTGTGGCATTCCTGCAGATTGTGTCTGATTGCTTTGTCCCTCCTTACCTAAGGTATTGGCCCTCTCTGCTTTGTCAACCTACTTTGTCAACCCTCTTTCTTAGCTGCTGGACAGGTAGCCTGATTTTGAATGTATTATACTGACCTAGATTCTGGCACCTCTCAGGAGACAACTTCCAATCTCCACCTTCACAGGATGAGAGGCACTCTATCCCCATGCCAGTCCTGCCCTCTGCACTACACTCAAGCAGGCTTTTTCTCAACAAGGTACTGTTCAACAAAGGAAAGAGATGGGATACAACTGTTGAATCTTATGGCTAGAAGAGATGCTCTTTGCAATGAACTGAAATTTTCAGTTCCTGATAAAGATGCGTGGTATCATGTACTTCATACCTAACCACTAGCCTAGAGTCAGGAAACATAACTTTACCAATCCATTTGCCCTCACTTCCATGGTAGGAATTCTGTATTTGCATTTATCTCCTCTTCTACTTTATCCTGACTTCTAGCCCGCACATTCAGATGGTTTAACTGAAATATTGGTAGAGTTTATTTAAATTTTACTCAAGAGTTGAAACACGTGCACTTGTCTAACTTCACATGAAAGCAGAAAGATAAACTATAATCTTAAAATTGATTTGCAGCCTAACAGAGCCAACCTGTCTCAATGAATAGATTATTTTAAAACTTTCCAATGTTCAATTTAAAAGACACTTGTATTTTGAAGCCTTTTTAATCTTTTCATTTTTAATTATTTCTTCATTTTTTTTGTTTACTTCAAAGAATCCAGGGAGTCAATTCATTAGGATGGATGGATAATGAAATTAATAGAGAATTGCTAAACCCAAACTGTCACGTACCTATGCACAATTTCTTGATTATCACTAAGGTAACATGAAAACATGTGCTCTATAATGTACAGCTTTGCCTTGTCAGGATAACTACACACCTTTACTCCACCATCTAGTTGGTATGGTGTGAGCTTTCAGAACTAAAGGGTAGATGCCTAGCCGTCTTGGGGGAAAATTGTAATTACCTGCCTCCCCACCTCTACTCCCTCAATCACGGTTCACTGGGCAATGGGTGGGCACCAATTCCAAATTAGACTAATAATCTCAAGTCTTTTCTTGAAATTTCAACTGAAAGTGAAGGTTCATTCCTTTGTGTGGCGGTAACTCCAAGATGAAAATCTTAAAACCCATAAGGTGGAGGAAGATGATGACAAAGAAAAACTACATGCAGAAAACAGCAGAGACAAGAGATACAGTGTTACAATAGTGCTGAAGATGCTGCCTTCTCTTTTTCTTAAAGCAGATGTTCCCAGAGTCCATTGATCCCGCATTCTGGTTTTGAACACAACTTTGATGCTGTGAACTTATGACTTCTTCATTTTGTCCTAAGAAAGCCTACATTTGGCTTTGACTACTTATACCCAGACAAAAACCTCTATGTAGTTTATTGATTAGATGCTCCTATATAACAAATCATTTCAAAACTCATTCATAAACTAAAAGGTTCTTCTGTTCTCAGTTGAGCATTTCAGGACTTGTTGAGGCAATGGTTTTTTGAGCTCCAAAACTGAGAAATGGGTGAAAGAGTAATAGACAGTTAAAGCTCAGTCTCCTAGGATGAACAAAAGCAAAAGTATGGCCCCCACACTCAGTGTCACAACATTTGAGGGGGTTAAGGCAGTGATGTCCGGAACCAGTTCATACTGGCTCAAGAGCCAATGGTTAAATTTTTAGAAATTTGTAAGACAGTTATTAAATACAAGTATCTACAGTGCTGAAATATAGGGTAATGAACATTTCAATGCAGGTGTCAATGGGATAACTATGTCTAACGTAGGCTGCTTAATTTTTAAAAAATAATTTATTTTTGAAATAAAGGTAATCAATACTCAAAACTTATTGCTTTCTAATTATTTTATAAGATCTCACTACTATCTATGCTTTCAAGTTATTCATATCTATATTATCTCTACGGTGGGTATACTATACAATCAGTAACTATATCAATTACATCACAGCTTGGAGCAGGCTATGGTGGGAGTATTTATGCCCTAGAAATCATAAAATGCTAGGAATCAGGGTTTGTTTTCAGAGAGCTAGTTTTTAAACCTTTACCAGTCCATCACTGGAATAAGCCATTTCAGATTAAAAATGGCACAGGATAAACAAATGGTAAACAAAATGTCTTGGGGAAAATAGACATCTTTACAATTAAGTGAAGAGGGGATAAATGAAATCTAAGAAGTATGACTGTAAGATAACTATAACCTCCCTTGACACATGAAACTAAAATTTACAGATAAAAAGTATAATTTGGGGAAAATTACACTGCCTAAAGAACCACCAGCCTGGATTAGACATGAATGTGCTATTTGAGACATAAAACCAGCATTGGCTTCCCCAGTTGTCTACATGTAGATGGTGAGCTACAGTATCAGTCAGCTCCTGAGTAAGGCATATTCGCCACTGCCCTCTTCAGGCCAGAGAGAATAAAGGATAGTAAACTCCCGGAGGATGGACCTAAAGCTCACAGCAAACACTGAGTAGGGGGATATACGCTCCCCACAGACTTATCAAAGAAGATTCCCCACTCTGAGTCAGGAGATCTTGGTAATGTCTACCCAATAGAATTTCAAAATTGCTTCAGAAGCCTACTATGTATCTCCCATACTTATGCTCTGTGAATGCAAGTATTGGTAAAGATAACATCCCTTTTCTATCCTTCATATTAATTGTGTGGAGTAGGGAGCTAGTGAGAGGAACACAGCAAGTAGCCTTCTTAGTCCATAGGTCTCTGGATCAAGAGAAGCCACATTCAAACCCAATATAGAAGCCACTGCTTACCACTTCCTAATGCAGAAGTCTTCTTACATAGTCAGAAAGCCTATTTTTCAAGCTGGGTGATAGAAACGGATTGAATTTGAGAATTGATTCCTTTGAGGCGGCGATAAGTATGTTCAGCATATAGCAAAAGAGTGTGAACAGGATATTGCGTGACCACAAGTATAAATGGTGGTAGCCACTATTGCTGTCTATCAAATATTTTCACCTCCTCTCTCATGCATTTGGTGGGACTATATTTCCCCAAATCACTGAAGATGGGTGCGGCCCGTATAACATGCAAGAGAAATATGAGCACCAGTAGCATGGGTAAATTTAAGAGGAGTGAGCAATTTATTTCTTCTTTTTTCCCTCCGCCACAATGGCCAGCAATGATCCAAACAGTGGCTACTTTCTATCAGCATGGGTTCTAGAGAGGATAATATGGAGAAAAGCTCTCAGCCAACCCAGAAAAAAGTGTAATATGAGCGAGAAATAAGCCCTGTGGTTTTAAGCCACAGAGATTTTGATATAATCTAGTCCATCCTGACTAGCACAACCACAATTCCATATCTTCTGGCAAAGCGTCCCCAGAAGTAGATCAAGCTGCGTTATATTTGATTACTGAAATATATGCCAAGCTATATTGCATACCAAGAAATGCAACTGAAGGGAGGAAAAAGTTGTCAAATCCAACAAAATAATTTAAAGAAATTTCAAGCAATGAAGTGCTGGTGCAGCCGAGCTATGCTTCATTCAGGACTGCCATTACATTGTCAAATATTGATTTGTCTAAGGTTCACATGACTCTGAAGATAAATTCCTTAACTTCTGATGTCAACATGAGATTCAATTGAAAAAATTACAAATAGGAAAGTAGCAACATCAAAATTGAAGAGTACATCAGCAGTTTGGAAGGTAAAGAGAATAACAGTGGTAAAAAAAAGAATTCTGAGTTTTAATGATTAAAATTATTTAAGTGTGGGATATGAAGAAGTTCCTTCTTATATATATAAAAAGTGATATGTGATAGAATTCATAAATCTAAATACGTCGAAAAGAGCTCTTTTAACAAGCATGATTCAAAATTCAAAATGTCAGGAAAGTATCATTCACATTTCAATTTGTAGGATCATATCTTCATCCTTGGTGATACATAAAGTAATAATGTGTCTTAAAAATCAATGGTATCTTAGCATTAATCGAGTAATAGAAAAGTAATAATAATCACTAATAATGATTACAGGATATGGCTGAATGGTAACATAATTTGTATTCAGATGAGCCATTTACTACAAGAGATTAAAACAATTAGGCTTTCAATACATTTTTCTTAATGAGAGAGAACAAGGCCCACCCAACAATAAAATACCTTTTCCCACATGATTGTGGTTCAAAAATATGTACACACACACACACACACACACACACACACACACACGGACTTATCACGGAAGATTCCTTGATTATTTTTTGGTTATTTTGTAAGTGAAGAAGGGAGAAAAATGTTTTGCTATAGAGATACTTTGATACTTTCTTGGAAGTTACAAAGCAATGACATATTGGATGTATAAACGTGGTACTTTGACTTCCCAAAAACTAGAGGCATAAATAGAAAATAAATGACTGTAATTCTTCCCTGGGAAATTTTTAAGTAAATGTGATGAAGTGCTTTTGAAAGAAACAAACTGAGGAAATACCTATGACAAAGCAACACATGTCATAGGAGGTAAAAGGCCCTTATAGATCATCCATACATGCCATGGTGGTTTGCTGTCTCCATTCCCATTCCCCTCCCCACCGGTTGCCTAAATCAGGCATTTCTCCTGGTGTTATCCCTTTCCATCCTCCCTGCCCCCCCGCCCCGCTGTCCCTTCCCTCCACCCACCCACCCCCACCCAACCCATTGAGTGTTGTTCTCTTCCCTGTGCCCAAGTGTTCTCAGTGTCTGTATGTTTTCATGAGAAATTTACTTTGAGAAGTTGTCCCAAGCTCTGACAGTCCTACACATTGCATTTTCAATCTGCCATGAAAATTGTGGCCTGATTTAGTTGTTCAGAAACAGGACACCCAATTAGTTTTCAAAGACACATGCATCAAATCACACAGTCACTGTAAAATTTTTTCTTACCACTACAAGTTTCTCTGATTCTCTTCTCTGAAATTTTGAGTCCTTAAAGTTGTGTCTGCTCCTTTAGCACTTAATCGCTTACTCTCTTGTTCTGGTCACAAACCTTGATTTATTTTCTGCCACCCTCCAATCATATTATAAGTTTTTAAATGTTAAAAATATGGCTTATACTTTTGAAAACCTGGTAATAAGAGTACTAATAATAGCTAACATTTATGAAATGTTTATTTGTGAGATTCACAAGACTAAGTGCTTTACATGTGTTTTCTTTATAATTTCCACAATAACCTGTTAACTCAGTCATGCAGCTAGAGACCCCAACCTATGTCCCACTGTATTATGCTGCCACACACGCAGCTCCCTTGAGTGCATATGAGATTTTCAGTAGGGCTATGAACATTTTGATTCAGATGTGCATTAGTATAAATGTCTGTTGGATAACCTTCTCTGACATATACTGCTTATCTAGTCCTCCACTCTGGACACTGGTCACCTGGTTTAGATAGCTCTTTTCCAATATTGGGGGTGTCTTTTTACTCAGAATTGCATAATGTCAGCAATGAAATTTACATATTTTAAATGGACTCAACTCTCATTACAGAGCTAAAATTACATCAAATATACAGTATATAGGTATGTGACTACATTGCAGAATGTAACTACAATTAGGATGAGAAAGACAAACAGAAAGAGGTTGGTATTGAGATTAAGAAAACCCTGGGAAGCTGTGCGATAAAACAGAATTAAAACCTAAATTTACAGACCCAAAAAGTTAAATAAAGTGATCATGTGTGAGTGTGTGTGTGTGTACTCATTATGATGGTTCAAGTATAAACTTCCAATATATTCGTACTCTTCACAAGGAATTTATGAAAATCTGAGCTAGATGAGGCCCATGATATCATCAGAATCATCTAAGTTGCTTATTAAACTTCAGATTCCCAAGCATCATCCAATCTTGAGTTGGAGCATGGGGTTTGGAGACCTAGCTTGGATTCCTCAGTAGCAGACGCTGAGACCAGAATGGGTAAAAGAAAATGAGGCAAGGATATGAAGGTACCGGTACTGAATATGTAATAAGCAGGTCACTGCTTCACACACCTGGGGCTGAATCTCTGTGTGGGTCTGGGAGATGCCATAGAGCAGTCATTCTCAAATGTTTTGGTTTTGGAATCCCTTTGCACTCTTAAAAACTGTTGAGGGCTCCGAAGAGTTTTTGTGTGAATTACATCTATTGATACCTACTACATTATAAATTAAAACTATATTTTTTAAACACAGGAATTCCTAGGGATGACATTCTCACCTGTCAGGTGGCCTCTGGGATACTTCATTGTACCCTTGTGATGGTATGAGAGTGAAAGAGGCAAGTGATACCTTGATAGTGGCTCAAAAATTGTTTCAATCTCAAAGGCCTTCTAATACAATTTTAGAGACCCTCTAGAGGTCCCCAGAGTACACATTGAGAACCATTAGTGTAGAACGTATTTCAAAGTTGTACAATTTGAAGACTATGGAAGGTGGGATATTTGTGTCCCAACTCTCATTCCTGATTGTTTGAGGGTGTACTAACTCCCTGGAACTTCCAGGCTGCCATGCACACAGGTGGAGTATGTTTGTTTCTAGATCCAGAGGGAAAGTTCCCAAGCAGAGAGTTATGGATGTTTGTGTATAGAGTCTTTGAGATACACAGGAAGATGAAATGACCAAGGAATATGTGCAGTGCACTGACAGCAGCTGCCACACCTGCAAACCTCTGTTATATTTAATTTAATGCACACCAAAGCTGAAGTACCACTGCTTTAGGGTCTAGAAGAATCATCTCTGACTCCATTCAACCAGCATTCCTTTTTGTTTTCATCTTACTAGTCTGCAATGTGATGATTACACTTTTACATAAAAGCATTTGATATTATTTTTAGAAAACAATCAGTCTCTCAGTCTACAATTGTTCAAAGTTCAGACCATTAATTATGGAGTGGTTCTCAATAGTGTTTCTTATAAGGTTTTGATTTCTACCAATATGTTTTACACAAATTCTATCATCTGTATTTTATAATTCTAGAATTGACTGTTTTATTCATTTACTACTAAAACTCAACCCTGTCTCTGTATCTTCACTATCCAGTAATCCATGTCTCTGTATTTCTCCTACAGTAGTAGAGAAATTTATAGCCCCTAGTATTTTGGTACAAATAATATCTTCCAGATTGGATCCAAAAGGAAAACAGTTCTTTATTATAGAGAAATATTTTTGCT